AACTCTAAGCCTCTACAACACTCACTGTCCTCTCCTCATCAAGCAAGTAACTGTAAGCCTCCACAACACTCACTGTCCTCTCCTCATCAAGCAAGTAACTGTAAGCCTCTACAACACTCACTGTCCTCTCCTCATCAAGCAAGTAACTGTAAGCCTCTACAACACTCACTGTCCTCTCCTCACCAAGCAAGTAACTGTAAGCCTCTACAACACTCACTGTCCTCTCCTCATCAAGCAAGTAACTGTAAGTCTCTACAACACTCACTGTCCTCTCCTCACCAAGCAAGTAACTGTAAGCCTCTACAACACTCACTGTCCTCTCCTCATCAAGCAAGTAACTGTAAGCCTCTACAACACTCACTGTCCTCTCCTCATCAAGCAAGTAACTCTAAGCCTCTACAACACTCACTGTCCTCTCCTCACCAAACAAGTAACTCTAAGCCTCTACAACACTCACTGTCCTCTCCTCACCAAGCAAGTAACTGTAAGCCTCTACAACACTCACTGTCCTCTCCTCATCAAGCAAGTAACTGTAAGTCTCTACAACACTCACTGTCCTCTCCTCACCAAGCAAGTAACTGTAAGCCTCTACAACACTCACTGTCCTCTCCTCATCAAGCAAGTAACTGTAAGCCTCTACAACACTCACTGTCCTCTCCTCATCAAGCAAGTAACTCTAAGCCTCTACAACACTCACTGTCCTCTCCTCACCAAACAAGTAACTCTAAGCCTCTACAACACTCACTGTCCTCTCCTCACCAAACAAGTAACTGGCAAAAGATTAAACAACCCCTGGCTGACAAGTGGGTTACATACAACACATAACCTTAAAGCTTACAGATGTAGACCTGACCAAATGTAAACTGAGTCAACAAAATTATTCGCACACCCTCCGTCACTATGTGATGGAGTGCGAAAAGATACGTGAATTTAGAGACAATTCTATAACCAATGTTCCAGCGATGTGTCAATATTTTATTCAAAATTATTATATTTTCATTGACCTGAAAAAGGCCTTTGATACTGTAAACCATAACTACCTCTACTTAAACTTCACCACTATGGTATCCGAGGCCTTGCTCTGGACTATATTCGTTCCTATCTCAGTGACAGACACCAATATGTAGCCATCAGTAGCATAACCTTCCATACTCTTACACATATACACACACTACGGGCTCACCATAGCCCGTGCTACTTGGAACTTTTTGTTCCAGGTAGCGAATCTTTAACAACAACCATACTCTATCATTGACAATAGGAGGTGCCACAGGGCAGCATCTTGAAACTTCTCCTATTTCTTATATACAGCAATGATTTGCCAAATGTTTCTAACATTCTTGAACCTATACTATTTTGCTGATGATACTACACTCATCTATTCTGACCACAACCCCCCACACTAAATAATATTGTCAACAAATAATTACAAAAAGTCTACTCATGAATGTCAACCAACAAACTTATACTAAACATAGAAAAGACCTGCTATATTTTATTTGGTAGTAAATCGTCAAATCAGATTCAACTTCAGATAGACAATGTTAACATTACCAACAAAAATGAGGGAAGTTCCTTGGCCTATACATAGACAAGAGACTGAACTTCAGCACCAACAAACAACACATAACCAAAAAACTCTCAAAAAACGGTCGGTATAATTTCTAAAATCAAATATTATGTTCCCCACTCTGCTCTCCTCTCATTATACTATGCACTAAACTATCCCTATCTTACATACGGTATCTGTGCATGGGGGTCAACCACTGCACATTACCTCAAGCCCATCATCACTCAGTAAAAATCTGTTATCAGAACTATAACAAAGTCTGTATTCAGACAACACACAGCCCCTCTGTTTAAGTCCCTTAACATGCTAAACATACACTCACTCCACATATTCTCATGTGCTATCTACATGTACAAAACATTGTTCCTAAATCCTAATCTTGATTTGAAACTTTTCCTTGATAGATGTAACAGAACCCATAAGAACCACACCGGAAATAAATATCTCTTTCATATCCCCAGAGTCGGACTAAATCTGTGCAAACACTCCATGCTAATAAAAGGGCCCAGCCTTTGGACATCACTTCCTGATGAATTAAACAAATTTCGAACCCATGCCCAAAAGTAAAACCAAAAAGTACCTAATTTCATCCTTATAGTTTTCTACCTTGTGCCTCAAACTCACACTGTATCTTGTACTACCCACTTCCCCAATATTAGTACCTAAGACATATATCCTCATCAATGTAATCACTGTCAACTTATATAAACTCATAATCACCACACCAGACATAAATATCTCTTTGATATCCAGTCAGATTTAATCTGTGTAAACACTCAATGGAAATAAAGAGACCTAGTCTATGGAACTCACTCCCTAATGAATTGAAAAGCTATCCAACTTTTGCCTTATTCAAAAATAAAACCAAAAAGTACCTAATTTCATCTTCATAGTTTCCTACCTAATGCTTTAACTCGCACTGTATCTAGTGCTACCCAATCCCCCAATATATGTACCTAAACCATATAACTTTACCATTGTAATCTTTGATATCATCTGATATCATGGTTGTTATATTGAGTGCATATTCTACTGCATTACTCCTTGAAATGATCCTCAAATTGTACTACAGTGAACCAATGTATAACCCTGAAATTTTATCCTAATGTGCCTAGTAATCCTTGTTCATTATTGTGTATTGTTATTACTGTGTATTAATCTAATCTTTGTTTATTGTGTCAAAATTCCTTATAATATACCTGTAAACAGTTTTTGTCAATTTTTCTGTAAATTATCTTTTAAATTATCTGTTATTATTGTGTATTAATCTAATCTTTGTTTATTGTTTAAAAATTTCATACAATGTACCTGTAAATTTTTTTTGTCAATTTTACTGTAAATTATCTACTTAAAATTATCTTTTAGTTTAAGGACTTGCTATGGGTGCTAGTGGCTTTACAAGAATGTAAAATCAACATCATTTCTATGTACTCTCTTAACCCCCAATGTACCTTCTTGTATATAAACAAATAAATAAATAAATAAGTAAATAGATATTGCAGTTATTTGTTTGCAGTTATTACTGCCCGAAACGCTGTGCGTAATAGTGGCTTTAGGCATCGTATGTACTAGCTCTATCTATAAATTCATCAATATTTGTATCACACCCTGTATGTATGTACTTTACTTGAATAAACATTTGAATTTGAATTTGAATTTGCATTTGAATATAAAACCTTGCTACACTGTACCTTTTCATCTTACATGATATGTTAGATTAAGAATCTGCCCGAAACGCTATTCGTGTTAGGAGCTTTGCATGAATGTAAAAATACCAATCTTATGTAATATCACCAACCGATAGTACTTTCTTGCATATAAATTATTATTATTATTATATGGACCTCCAAAGGATACTTGATCAACCAGGCTGTGATACATACGTCAATCTGCGAGCAGCCGCGTCCAACAGCCTGGTTGACTAGGCCATCAACCAGGAGGGCTGGTCAGAGAACGTTTTTTTTTTTTTAGTTTAGTTCAGAGAACGGGCCGCGGGGGACCTTGACCCCCTGGAATCAACGCAAGGTAACCGCAAGGGAAAGTAAGCGTTTACGTGAAATTTAATATAGTTAGCTCTTTTAAGTGCCATCCGTTTTTTGTTATTGATATTCAAAGAGGATGGATGGGGGTAACTATTGCATATCTTTCTTTCGTGTTTCTATACTTCTATAGGTATTCATTTTAGCAGTGACGCTGATATTGGTTTTAAAGTGGATGTGGCAGAACTTCCAAAATACAAAGATAGACTTTGAAATAGTTTCAGTCGGGTTGGTTCTCAACTCACAATCGGGAATCCCGGGTTCGAATGTCAGACATGACATAAATGGTTGGGCATGTTTCCGATCACCTAATGCCCCAGTCCACCTAGCAGTAGACAAGTAACCAGGAGTTAGCGTGTTGTGTGGTTGCATCCAGGGGAGGGTCAGTAATTCGATCATGGGGGGAAGGATGGGACCTCGATATGATCCTAACATATACTGTGTATATATACTGGCTGCCTGTCCCCCGACACAATGAATTATAATTATTAATTAATGCCTGAATTTGGTGTTTGGCTTTAGTAGGCTACCTGCATGTTGCAGCCACTCCTGTACTTGATCTTCAGCACTATACTTTCCTAGCTAATCGTATGTTTTCTTTATTCCTTATTGATAATTTACTCATAGTTTCAATATTCATATATTTTCTTCTATTTTTCGTCTGCTTTCATTATTGTTATGTTTTCATATTGTTTGGTATCATTTTGTGTAGTCAGTTTTCTGTGCTCAGACCTGTTTTCGCTGACGAAAATATATAATTTATGATATCCTCCATGACTGGGTGATACCAGGTGTAGTACGATAACTCCCATTTTCGCATTGATACTTCCTATAACTGCAACTTTTCAAGATCGAGTGTGCATTCACTGTTGTCTTGCTGTGATATTTGTTGTAATGTCAACAAAATTGAGCTTTCTGATTTATGAAATCTATGGACACTAATTTAATTATTCCGTACATGAAAATCCGTGGGTGGCGACCTCGCGGAGAGCGCCTCCAGGCGTGCACTGAACCTTGCTACCTGTTACCATACAAGAATTGATATTTTTATTCCTCCTTGGTCGTTGATTTATGATTCTCGAAGTTGTTGTCATGAAAGGAAGTCACGTTTAATGTAATTCGTTTTTTATCACGTCAACTTGAATCGTTAAACGGCATTAGTTTACAGCACAAAGTTACTATTTAATGACAAGCTGACAACGCGTCCATTGGATTGTACAGTTATCAATGCGTATTTTAACTATGGAAAAAAAGTTGCAGAAACAGTTTTCGCCAATTACTTTATCCAAATAAATTATTCATTATGCAGAGTTCTAGTTTAATACAACTATCGCGTAGAAAAAATGGTATCTGAGTTTTAAGTAAGGAAGAGTAGAATAGAGGAGGGAGTAGCGTGAGGCAGACAGTGAGAGCGAGTGTGGCGTCCCACAAGGTGCTGGCTAGGGTCTCCAGCCCCTGCATGCTCACTTGTCCAACTATCCTTCACCTTCCCTGGCAACCACCAGGTGTTACCGCTATCAATGTGCCCGTTATATAGGAGCTAGTGATGCTGCGATGTGAAAAGTACTAACTGCTACATGTGTCATGATGTCAATCCTGGCGAAGAAAACAGTATATGATATCCTCGTGTGCACCTTGTGCGGAGAGGTCACCTGGCTGCTCGAGTCGTCATAACAAACTTTTTATGTATGAGATAACTTCGCTTGACACGTAATTTGCTGCATCGTATGAGTGTTGATGTACGCTGCTGTGTACTGGGCAAGGTCAGTTGTGTCACGTATGCCATGGCAGTTTTAGCCAGCTCTGCCAATAGCCCAAAGCTATAATCAAGAGGTTTACAAGAAGAGAGAGAACATTGATGTAACCATCTGTCTGCTCTCTCCAGAACATTTAATATAAATTCATAGACATGTGAGGAATAAGGTCCTATGATTATTTAAGGTAATGCACTTCCCAGGCTGTTAATATTTACCCGATGCAGCACAGAAGGTGAAGACTGGAGGGCACGGCGTCACTTGAGACCGTAGCATGATAAGGAGCGCTCCTCCACACCAAGATGATCAAGTGTAAGTACACAATAACGAAACACTTCATATTTTCACTTTTCAAACAGTGTGCTGTTCCGTATTTAAACCCATTATTAATACTGGCTTTTAAATAGGTAAATATATTTTTATATGTTGACCATATATATTACATATTTATTATTTATATATGGGTTTGTATTATTGATCTTAAAATGTCTGCTGATTAACTGCGCTTATCATACGGTACTTGACTTTATTGGAGTGTTCAAGTTACTATGCATTAATTTACGCATCTGTAGCTTTTCGTTATTAAAGCAACTTTATTCATAATATTCATAATCCAAAAATGCCGTGTGCACGCACTCACAAATGGAATGCACTGAAGGAAGTTGTAGAAGCCACCTCCATCCACCACTTTAAGGTCAAATTTGACAATGAATTCGAACATTAGAATAGATAATTATATCAAAACAGGTACAACAAAGCTATAGTAGGCGGGCATAGCTATAGTAGGCGGGCATAGCTATAGTAGGCGGGCATAGCTATAGTAGGCGGGCATAGCTATAGTAGGCGGGCATAGCTATAGTAGGCGGGCATAGCTATAGTAGGCGGGCATAGCTATAGTAGGCGGGCATAGCTATAGTAGGCGGGCATAGCTATAGTAGGCGGGCATAAAAGACTAGACCTCATTTTTCAATAGACACTGATAAGGGACTACAAATACACAGAGAATGACAGGTAGGTTACAAGGAGATGTGAGAAGAGCTCAACAAGAGATTCCAGGTCTTCACAATAGAGCAAGAAGTACCTGAACTGAGAGGGATAGAGGTAAACCAAACAGTTTTAGAAGAATTTGAAATTGCCAGAGATGAGGCTAGGAGGCAACTGTTGGAACTGCTATGGAAAAGAGGCACTATGGGTGCCACTACCAGGGGGCCTGGTAGCCTGGTGGATAGCGCGCAGTACTCGTAATTCTGTGGCCCGGGTTCGATTCCCGCACCAGGCAGAAACAAATGGGCAAAGTTTCTTTCACCCTGAATACCCCAGTTACCTAGCAGTAAATAGGTACCTGGGAGTTAGTCAGCTGTCACGGGCTGCTTCCTAGGGTGCGTGAGTGGTGTGGGGGAAAAGTAGTAAACAGTTGATTGACAGTTGAGAGGCGGGCCGAAAGAGCAAAGCTCAACCCCCGCAAACACAACTAGGTCAATTACACTATGGTGTATAATAGGTCACTGGAAGCAGGAGACCTACCAGAAAGTTGGAAGACATCTAAAGTAGTCCCATTATACAAAAAAGGTTCAGGAAAGAGATACTGCACTACAGTTCGGTGTCCATAAATTATGTGCCATGCAAGGAAAATAATAAGATCGTTAGAAAAAAGCTAGTAGCACATCTGGAAAGAAGGAATTTTGTGACCATCACCAACGCGGTTTCAAGAATTGTAAATCGTCCTTCACAAATTCAACGGAATATTTAAATTAGACGACAGAAATTAGATGTGAAGAGTGGGCAGACCATTTTTGTTTAATCGGAAAACTTTTGACAGTAACCCCATAAGAGGTCGATGAATAAGTTGGAGAGACAGGCAGGAGAAACAGGTAAGGTGCTCCAGTGGACAAAGAAGTATATAGGTAACAGAAAACAGTGAGTTACTGTGAGGGGAGATATCTCAGAATGGCCAGATGTTACCATCAAGAACCCCACAGGTTTTTTTTTACCTGGACGTATTCTGCTTCTCACATATGTAAACAATCCTCCAGAGGATGTAGACTTAATCCTTAGTGTTTGCAAAAGCACAAATTATAAGGAGGATTAAAACAGTAAGATAGCATGAGACTACAGATGAAAGAATGGTCCAACAAATGGCGACTAGAGTTTAACTCAGTTAAGTGTAAAACAATGAAAATAAGTATAGTGACCAGGAGGCCGGGCACAAACAACCAGTTTGAAGATGAAATCCTTGAAGAATCTGGTAGAAAGACCTTGGGGTTGATATCACACCGAACCTATCTCCTGAAGCCCACATCAAAAGAATATACAGTACTTGGGGTGACCTCAATACAAGCCTAACGTATGTACATACACAGGCTGTCTGTCCCCGGACAATACTAGTTATTATTATTATTAATATTATTATTATCATGATCATTATTATTATTACAGTGTTGAGAAGATATGATATGAATTGAGGGTAAGTGATAGTGGAAAGATAACATTGGGACATGTATAATAGGTTCAAGAGGTGAACCCCACTATTCGTTCAGTTATGCAATTTACAAAACTGAAAAAGAATTGTTGTAGAGTTTGTTAATATACAGCAAGAGTCTATTTACAGTTTTAATTAGTTTAGCCTAGTTACCATAAGGTTAGTCGTATACTAGATTCCGGAAATGAATGAATCCCAAGGAGGCGAAAGCTTAACTGCAAATAAAATCTACCTTCAGCATTAGTAACTGGCAGTAAAGCCAATAGAAGATCGCGTTTTGGGGAAACGTATTATATGAGACTTTAAAGTGAGCTCTAGTAGGTACAGCTTTTATTATAGTCTGAAGATAGAAGGCAATTCCTACTTCTGTAGGCCTTCCCTCTAAAGTAAGAAAAAACTTAGGCCTACGGTAAAAAGAGAGTATAGCCTACGATACATATTGGCGCTTCGTGCAGGTCTTCTGGTCATCAAGTTCTGTTCATCACCAGTGGTGCAGTGCTGCCGAAGCTCGCCGGAGCGTCTCTGCAAGTGGATGATGGAATAGGGGAAAGGGAGGGAGAGGAGGAAGGGAAAGGGAGATGATGGGGTGTGGGTGATGGCTGATCGTGGCAGGAAAATATTAGTATACATCACTAATATTAAATACTTTATTTATTTTTATTTATTTATTTATATACAAGAAGGTACATTGGGTTTGTTAGAATACATAGCATAGTACAGTATTTACACCTCTTGTAAAGCCACTAGTACGCGCATCGTTTCGGGCAGGTCCTTAATCTAACAGATAATTTTAAGTAGGTAAATTCTATCAGAATGAATAAAATTATAACAAATACATTGCAAGAAAAAAAATGAGATGAGAGAGATTAGTAAGTATATTAAAGTACATTGGTATATTAAAGCTCTGATTGATTACATTGACAGCTTGATTGGTAATTTAAACAAGATTAATAGACACCATACAGCAGATTGACAGCACATATAAGACAGCAATGATCACAATGGTAAAGATGTTCAGATTGGGTACATAAAGATTGGGTAGCAATAGATACAGTGCAATTTTAAAGTAAAAGGTAAAAAACTATGAAGATGAAATTAGGTACTTTTTAGTATTGTTTTTGAATGACGCAAAAGTTGGACAGCTTTTCAATTCAATAGGGAGTGAGTTCCATAGACTGGATCCCTTTATTTGCATAGAGTGTTTACACAGATTAAGTTTGACTCTGGGGATATCAAAGAGATATTTATTTCTGGTGTGGTGATAATGGGTCCTATTACATCTGTCCTGGGAGAGTTTCAGAGCAGGATTGCAGGAACAGGGTTTTGTAAATGTAGTTGACACAAGAGAATTTATGGAGTGAGATTATGTTTAGCATGTTTAGGGAGTTAAACAAGGGGGCTGAGTGTTGTCTGAAAGCAGAATTTGTGAATATTCTGATAGCAGATTTTTGCTGGGTGATGATGGACTTGAGGTGGTTTGCAGTGGTTGAACCCCATGCACAGATACCATAATTAAGATAGGGATAGATTAATGCATAATATAGAGAGATGAGAGCAGAGTTAGGTACATGATATCTGATTTTGGAGAGTATACCAACTGTTTTAGAGACTTTCTTAGTTATGCGTTGTATGTGGGTACTGAAGTTGAGTCTCTTGTCTAGGAATAGGCCAAGAAACTTGCCATCATTTTTATTGCTAATGTTTACATTGTCTATCTGAAGCTGAATTGCATTTGTAGATTTGCTTCCAAATAAGATGTAGTAGATCTGTTCTATGTTAAGTGTTAGTTTGTTGGTTGACATCCATAAGTGGACTTTTTTTAGTTCATTATTAACAACATTATTTAGTGTATGTGGGTTGGGGTTAGATTAGATGAGGGTAGTATCATCAGCAAACAAAATAGGTTTCAGAATGTTAGAGACATTAGGCAGATCATTGATGTATATAAGAAATAGAAGAGGTCCCAAAATGCTGCCCTGTGGCACTCCAACGGTTATTGGTAGAGTGGGAGAGGTTATATTATTGATGGCTACACATTGGTGTCTATCACTAAGAAAGGATTGGATATAGTCCAGTGTATTAAGAATAGTCTATAGTGCATTTCCTATTGCTGGATAACAACTATTATTATTTCTTACTTAATGCACTGGATCAGAATGTACTTGAAACCACTTGGAATATTGCTAATGCACAATGGAATCCTGTTTCAAAACACCACAAATGAGCTCTGAGTGTGGAATGAGCAGTTAACTTTTAAATTAAATTAAATTATAAAAATTTATTCAGGAAAAGTACATACATAGTTGATTTACAAACATAATGTTGGATTTATAGATAGAGCAAGTACAAACAATATCTAAAGCCACTTATACACATAGCGTTTCGGGCAATGTGTGGGAGAAAAAACAACACTTGGACTAAAACTTAATAGTAATTGGGATTAGATATAAATTGTGTTGAAAAAAGGAATAAAAAATAAAAAGGGGTGGGAACATGGCAGAAATCAGCAATTGTACAAGTTGGTGAACAAACAGCATTGTTTAAAAATAGCAAGACGGGTTGACATTTAGGGGGTAAGGTAGGTTACATGGAGTTAATTAGGTAGTATCTAGTTTTACTCTTAAACTGGTTGAGAGAGATACAGCCTTTAATCTGATTGGGGAGGTCATTACACATTCTGGGTCCCTTGATTTGTAGAGCATTTCTAGTTTGATTAAGTCGCACGTTTGGAATATCAGATAAATATTTGCTTCTGGTGTGATGCCCATGAGTTCTGTCACAACCTTCTAGGAAGCTTCTAAGGTCAGGAGTGACATTGCAGTTCAGTGTTTTA